TTCAGGATGAAAAAGGTAAAGTCACAACAGATCCAGCAGAAATCCAGAGGATCAGCAATACTTACTTTGAGAACCTGTAATCTAATAAAATGGAAAACACATGCCGGGCGTGGTGGCGTAAGCCTGTAATCCCAGCACTCGGGAGGCTGAGGCAGGAGGATTGCTGTGAGTTTGAGACGAACCTGGGCTATACAGTGAGTTCCAGGGAAGTCTGAACTACATAGTGAGACCCTGTCTAAAAAAAAAAAAAAAAAAAAAAAAAAAAAAAGGAAAACAGAAGAAATGGACAGATTTCTAGATACATATGAATTACCAAAGTTGAACAAATAAGATATAAAAATTCTAAACACCCCAAATACAATCAGTGAAATTGAAAATGTAATTAAAAATCTACCAACAAACAAAAGCCCAGGTCCTGATGGATTCACTGCTGAATTCTACAAAACATTTAGAGAAGAACTACTGCCAAAACTCTTTAAACTTTTCAATGAATTGAAAGGGAAGCAACATTTCCAAATTCATTCCTGGAAGCAAGTGTTACTTTGATTACAAAACGAGGGAAAGAGCCAATCAAAAAAGAGAACTAAAGGCCAGTCTCCATAATTAACTTAGATGCAAAAATCCTCAGTAAGATACTCAGAAACATAATACAGAGGGTCATTAAGATCATACACCCTGACCAAGTTGGATTTATCCCAGGTATGCAAGGATGTTTCAACATATGTTAATCAGTAAGTGTAATACACTATTAACAGAGCCAAGAACAAAAACCATATGATCATCTCTATAGTTGCAGAAAAAGCATTTGACAAAATTCAGCACCCACTTATGTTGCAAACACTGCAGAAAATTGGAATAGTCTTCATCTCAACTTGATAAAAGCTATCTATGAAAACCCAACAGCCAACATCATATGAAATGGTTAAAAACTAAAAGCCTTTATGCTAAAATCAGGAACAAGACAATGATGTCCACTATCACTGCTCCTGTTCAATATAGTTTTTGAAACATTACCCACAGCAATTAGATGAGAGAAAGAAATAAAGGCAATAAAGATAGGAAAGGAAGAAGTTAAACTGTCATTATTTGTTGATAATATGATACTCTATATAGAAGACCCAAAAAAGCCCGCCAAAAGACTTCTGGACTTAATTAGCAGGTCCAATAGGGTAGCTGGATACAAGGTAATGACTCAAAAATCATTTGCCTTCTTGTACACAAATAACAGACTCATTGAGACAGAAATTATGAAAATAATTATTTTCACAATAGCATCCAAAAAATGAAATACCTAGGCATTAATTTAACAAAGGAAGCAAAAGATCTCTACATTGAGAATTACAACATTTTAAAGAGATCAAAGAGCATATAAGAAAATGGAAAGATATCCTTTGTTCCTGGGTAGGAAGAACCAATATAGTGAAAATGGCCATACATTCAAAACTGCTATACAGATTCATTGTAATCAGTATTGAAATCCCAACAGTATATTTCACAGAACTAGAGAAAACAATACAAAATTCATTTGGAACCAGAAGAGACCTAGAATATCAAAAGCCATTCTAGGCAACAGAGATACAGCAGGGTATCGTAATCCCCAACTTGAAACTATACTACAAAGCCACTGTGATAAAAACAGCATGGTACTGGCAAAGAAACAGACCTGAGGATTAGTGGAATAATTTAGAAGATGCAGAAACAACTCCAAACATACTCAGCTACCTCATCTTTGATCAAGGAGCTTACCATCTTCACCGGAGGAAAGATACCCTCTTCAGTAAATGGTGGTGGAAAAACTGGATTTCAACTTGCCAAAAATCAAAACCAAACTCCTATCATTCACCATGCACTAAACTAAAATCAAAGTGGGTTAAAGATCTAAATATTAAATCAGAAACACTAAACTTGCTGGAAGATAAGGTAGGCAGAACTCTTGAAGACATTGGCATAGGAAAACACTTTATGAACAAATCCTCAGTAGCATGAAGAATCAACAACTGGGATCTCATCTTTTTGAAAACCTTCTGTACTGTAAGAGGAACCACCAGCAGAGCTGAGACAACCTACAATGTGGGAAAAAAATATTACCAGCTGTTCCTTAGACAAAGGACTACTATCTAAAATATAGAAAGAACTAAAAAAAAAAAATCAAGCCCTCCAAAATATAAAGATCCAATTCAAAAATGAAATAAACAGATATTTCTCAGACAAGGAAGCAAAAGCAGCAAATAAATTTATGAAAAAATGTTCCACATCCCTGGTTATTTGAGAAATGCAGATGAAAACAACACTGAGATTCCCCCTCACTACAGAAAGAATGGTTGCTGTCAAGAAATAAACCAATAAATGCTGGTGGGATTGTGGGGAGATAGGAACTCTTCTGCACTGTTGGTGTGAGTGCAGATTGGTGCAACCATTGTGGAAATCAATATGGAAATACCTCAAACAACTAGGATTGAAGTTCCATTTGACCCAGCTGTTTCTCCACTGGGTATCTTCCCAAAGGAACTAAAAGACTCATGCCACAGAGATATATGCTCATCCATGTTTATAGTGGCACAATTTGTAATAGCTAAACCTTGGAAACAGCCCAATTGCCCATCAACTGGAGACTGGATAAAGAATATGTTTTTTTTTTTGTTTGTTTTTTTTAAATGAGTACTACTCAGCCACAAAGAACAAGAAACTAGAGACATTTATATCTAAGTGAATGCACATTGAGGACATACTTTAATTGAAATTAATAGGACATACATGTAAATACCATATAGTTTGTCTGGTATGGTAAACTAGAAGTGTAAAAAAGGGTCAAAATGTATAATTGATATTTTGTAATAGGGAGAAAAGGTCTAAAAGTATTGGGCAAATGGGGGGAGGGGAAAAGTTAAAAGGGAAGGGAAAATAAGAGAAAAGGAAAAAAATGGAAACAAAATCCTTATAAATAGGGAAGGGAAAAGAGAGAAGGGAGGCTAGGGAAATGGGGAAAAATAAGAACCAAAATATGTCATGTAAAGGTACATGATTCCAATAACGAATGTAACTGTATTGTATATCTAAATTGTACCAATAAAAAATATTTAAAAGAAAAAGAAAAAAAAATCTACCAATAACAAATGCTGGTGGGGTTGTGGGGTAAAAGAAACCCTTCTTCATTCTTAGTGGGAGTGTAGACTGGTGCAATCACTGTAGAAATCAATATGGAGATACCACCAAAAGCAGGATTAGAAATCCTGTTTGACTCAGATATTCCCCTGCTGGGTATCTTCCCACAAAAATTAAAAGAATCATACATAGTGATATATGTGCATCCATGTTTATAGCGGCATAGTTTGTAATAGCTGAAATTTAGATATAGACCAATTGCCCATCAACTGGAGACTGGATAAAGATGTGTTTCATTTTTTTTTTTTTTTATAAAATGGAGTACTACTCAGCCATAAAGTACAATAAACTAGAGACATTCATAACAAAATGGATGCATATTGAGGTCATATTCTTAAGTGAAATAGATAGGGCACATGTGTCAATACTGAATAGTTGCTCTGGTGTGAAAGTGTAAATAATGATCAAAATTTAAAACAGATAATGTGAAATAGGGAGGAAAGGGCCAAAGGAGAGGGGAAGTTGAAGGCATAGGAGAAAGTAAAGAAGGGAAAGGAATAAATATGAGAAAAGGAAAAAGTGGAAACAAAGTCTTTTGAAATAGGTAGGGGTTGAGTTGTTGAAGGGAGGGCAGGGCAATCGGGGGAAAAAAAGAACCAAGATATATCATGTAAAGGTACAAATTCCCAATGTTGAATGTCATCATATGGAACACATAAAATGTATCAATAAACTTAATGAATTAAAAAAAACTATGGTAAATACAAGAACACAATGTTCTTATTCAATTAGACACAAATAGGATTTAAAGTAAGGGTGAATTAGAAGAAAGGGATGATATTTCTAAGGCTAAAAACCAGTACCTGTATTCTTGGATACCAGACATTGCATAAAGTGATCTACATATGGAGAGTCAATCTAGAAAAATAGGTTAGGTCTATCTTTGTTGAAGGATCCTTCACAAAATAGCAAGACCATGAGAGCTGTGATAAAGTAAGTTTGTAGAGATGGAGTGAAAAGAAAAGCAAAAGGTAAGAAGAGCACTTCAGTGTCTGTACGTTCATTGCAAGAAATGACATGGACTTGAATTAAGTATAAGGGAAAATACACAGTTGGGCTGATCGGAACTGATTCATTTTTTTTCTCTCACTCAGTTTATTGGTACATTTTAGGTATACAGTACAGTTACATTAATCATTGGGAACTTGTACCTTTACATGACAGATCTTGGTTCTCATTTTTTCCCCAGACCCATGCCCTCCCTTCACCCCCTCCTACCTTCCCCATTTACAAACACTTTATTTCCTTTTTCTCATATTTTTTTCTTTTCCCTTATTACCTTTCTCCTACCCTTCCCACATTCCCTACATCTTTAGCCCTTTTTTTTCTATTTCACATTGTTAATTATATCTTTAGGATCTTATATACCATTATAGTTTTTCACACCAGAGAAACCGGTATTTACACATATGTGATGTATTTATTTCACTTAGGAGTATATCCTCAATATGTATCCATTTTCCTATGAATGAATCTAATTTCTCATTCTTTATGGCTGAGTAGTATTCCATTTTATGGAACTGATTCATTTTAAATTTAATATAGCAATCAGGAAAATAGTGTATTTTCTAATTCAAGACAGCAAAATAGAATCTAGATGACCTGCATTTTATCCTAAGCTCTTCACTGAAGTGTAGAAACAGAGTCCAAGAGGCCTAAGCCTCTGTTTTATCTGAGACAGAAACCCAGGGGCAGTAGACACTGCCCTCTTTCTCCCTTTCTACAGTCAGGTTGTTGACATCTTCTCATTTTTCATGTACCACTGCATTTCCAAATAACTCAAATTTCTTGATCATTAAACTTGTTAAATACTGATCCCATTGTTAATTGTCTTACAGATTCCATTGTGATTGGATTTTGGGTCGGTCTTGCAGTTTTCGTGATTTTCATGTTTTTTGTGCTGACCTTGCTGACCAAGACAGGTGCCCCACATCAAGAGTAAGTCTGGGCTGTTTGTGAATGTCTGCTATGCTCCGCTGGGAACTGAGGAACCACAATCAGGGCTGGGATTGCTTCCAGTGAGTGTAGAGTAGAGGCAGGTTGTAGATTTGATGTGTGAAGTGGGTTTCCACTTTCTTCCTGGCCTTTTGTTAGTGTTGCCTTGTGAGATTGGTTCTTGGCCCTTTCCTGCAGTCTTCATGCTGATCCAGGCCTGATATTTATATTGAAATGTTGGTTAATTGGAATGTATTTTTTCATTACTCTGGATAGGATTTAGATGACTTTCTAGATTAAAAGGGGTGAAAAAAGATGGTGGCAAAATAAGACGAGAACTAGTTTTTAAAACTATTTCAAAAAGCAGAGAAGTAATTGTTACTACATACTCAGTTAAACCACTTACTGACAATAACTGAGTTAAACACAGTTTCCTTGAAACTAGCATAAAAAAGTAAACTGCAGATTATCTAATTCTCATCATTACGTCACTGGTCTGGTTTTGAACTGGAGAAAGGAATTATTAAGTGAAGAGTATTTGTGAAGGACGGTTTCTGAACACTAACATCAGAATATATGCGCAGTTGTGGTTTTAAAAAATTCAGAAGTGTCTTAAAGAATATATTTTTATACAAATCCTTCAAAAAGAAAGCAAAATAATATGTTGAAGTCTTTATTAATTGGTCCCACCAGGTAACAGATAGCTTGCTCAAATTGGCATAACAACACCTGCTATTGAGGCTGTGGGGGAAAAGGAACTCTTCTATATTGTTGGTGGGAATTTGAACTAGTACAACCACTCTGGAAATCAAAGTGAAGATTTCTCCAAAAACTAAACATAAAATTTGTTTTTTTGTTTGTTTTGTTTTGGCTTTTGGTACCGGGGATTGAACTAGAGTCCTTGCACTTGCAAGGCAGGCCACCGAACCACTGACCTGAATCCCCAGCCCTAAACATAAAATTCGTATTTGACACAGATAACCCCCATGTAGGTATCTTCCCAAAAAAGAGTTTAAATCAGTATATTACATGGATATATGCTTACCCAGGTTTATAGAGGCACATTTTATAATAGTTAGATTTGAGAAATAGTTGATACATCCATTAACAGATAAACAGATAAAATGTAGTATTTATATATAATGGAGCACTCCTGTGCCATAAAGCAAGATAAATGAAGAAATTTAGATAAATGGATGCAACTTGAGAACATAACATTAAGTGAAATCAACAAGATATATAAGATTAAATATCTTATGGTTTCTCTTACATAAGAAATTCAAAATATATGTATATAAATAACGAGCAAAATAGAGGATAAATAGGAAGTAAGAAGTTCAGATAAATCTCCAAGTTACCCATTCCATTGTTTGAAAAATATATGTATATGCTAATTTGTTTCATTTATACTACTAGTTTCTTTCAGTTCATTGAAAAGAAAGTTTTCTGCTATTATCTGTTTCTTCTCTATAAGAGAATCTTTTTTGACTATATCTTATAATCTGAGTAATTGAAGATAATGATACACAGTGCACTAATTGTTGTTATTCTCTCATTAAGTCATTAAATTTTATTTAAAAAACAAAAATGATTAAAATATTTTAAAAAATAAAATAGAGGCTGTGGGCAGGGAGAAGGGAAGGGCCCTAGGTTCACAATGCTGAGGAGACATTTTAGATCTCATGATTGAGATCATGATTGAAGAAGCCAGGAATGAAATTCAGGTCAAAGGACACAGCTGGTCCAATGTGACCTCTAGGAAGTAGCCACAAAATAAAGAACTAGATATCCTGCTGCTGCTTTTTGTCATCTCTCATCCAGCAGCCAGAGGCTCTGTCAAAGTCCAGTTTACCAGAGTACTTAGAATGGGGAGAGTTGAAAGAGACGCATAGGAGAGGGAATGGAAGGAATTTCTCACAGATTCTAACATTTTACACCCAATATCCCCTTCACTCCTCAGAGCCTGGCAGCAGCACGGCCTTCATCTAGTCAGTTAATGGCCTTAATAGAATGATACTCATCTCCCCAAACAATAAATATTTCCAGTGCGCTAGAACTGCAGCTCTTCCCTGGGGCTCCAGCCTGGGCCTGCTGTGCAGATTTTGAGCTGGTCAGCCTCCACAGTCTCGCAAGCCAGTTCCTTAAAATCTGCACACATGCAGACCAACATACACATATCCTGTTGACTTTCTTTCTCTGGAGAACTCTGATTATTTCACTTCCAAATGGTATGTGTCATGGTGACCCTGGGTAACTTAGATTTGCATTCCTAGTATTTCAGTTGGCAACTTACTTTTACCACTAGATGATCTCTTTTTTTGGCAACAGATCTGTATGATTCTCAGACACAAAGCAGCAGTCAATGGTAACCTGCATGCTTCTAGCAAGGTGAAAGAAGAAACTATTATATTTTTAATAAAATAATGGATCATCCCACGAGGCCACTCTCTAAATGCTTTTGCACAGTCTGAGGAGGCATAAGCTATAGCCCTGGGAGGGAACGTGCAATAGGTTAGGTTATAAGGCAGTAACAGTTGCTAGAATCACAGTAAAACAAAACACAAGTTGATTCTTCCTTTAACTTCATCCCTGCCAGGGTTGGCAAGAGGCAGACAGAAACTCTTTTTTTTTTTTCTTTTTCTTTTTTGGTCTTTTGAGACAGGGTCTCACTATGTATTGAGACTGACTTGGAACTCACTATGTAGCCCGGGCTGGTCTCGAACTCACACCGATCCTCCTGCCTCAGCCTCCCGAGTGCTGGGATGACAGGTGCGAGCCACCACCAGACAGAAACTCTTCTGTTGAGATTTGTACTGTCTGCTCCCTTCAGCCTCCTGGGTTGATGTGACAGGGGAGGAAAGCACTGGGGATGTCAGCCTGGGAGTGTTGCTGGCCTCTTCCACAGCACTTGGTTCCGAACTGGCCACGCCCAGTTGATCACCCTGGTAGGGGAGGGTAGTCCTCTGTGTGTCTAAGAGAAGCAGATATCCCTGAGCATAAGGAAAATAGATGCAGAGGGAGAAAAACTACTATAAAGCTGACATAACCTTTCTTACAAAGCTTTTAGGCTTAAGGCACAGCTTTGCTGGGGATTATTTTTTCTGTAGAATGTTTGCTGGTGTGGAAGGGGGAAAATCTCGTATCTGATGCTTTTAGACACTCAGGATAAAGAACCATTTCCTCCTGCTGCTCAGCTAAGGAGCCATTTACTACAAATACTGTCTCTTTAGAGCATTATGGCCCCATTATCATAAATCTGCCAGGATTTACAATTTTATATTGAATATTTTGAACTTCTTAAAAAATTAGCAAGCCTCAGACATCATATACTTTAAATATCCTCAGTTTGTAGCCATTTCTAAGTGCTCCTCATCCAGGTAGGTGTGTTTTTACAGGTTTTTGTATGGCCTTATAAAAATGGGAATCACATTTTACCTGAATTGTAATTTACCTGAGTATAGCACTCAATAAGGGATAGGTATGTGCAACTAGACCTAATAGAAGGAAAATATCATTGCTTTTGGTGTGAAAAATGAAAAGTATAAATAGGTTTCAAATTGTATAATTCATAATGTGAAATAGAAAGAAAAGGGCTAAAGGAGTAAGGGAAATGGGAAGGGTGGAGGAAAGGAAAGACGGAAAAGAAAAAATATGAGTAAAGAAAAAAATGGAAACAAAGTCTTTGTAAATAGGGAGGGGTGGAGGGGGTGAAGGGAGGGCAGGGGTAGGGGGAAAATAAGAACCAAGATATATCATGTAAAGGTACAAGATCCCAATGATGAATGTAACTGTACTGTATACCTAATGTACCAATAAACTCAGTGAAAAAAAAATCAGTGCTTAAAATCTTTGATAATGACCATGGCCCCAGAACTAGCTGGTAAAGGGCAGATAGAGTGAGTGGTTGCAATCAATAAGTAGAACATCTATTTTATGTGTCTCATTTAATTTTAAAGCTTTCCTCAGCAGTTAACTTTTAATTCCACATCATTCAAGAGGTGATTACTGAGTGCACATCAACTGCTGGCCTAGCAGTGTGCCAAGGATAGTTCCGAGGTGGCAGAATGTTTTCTGCACCATAAGCACTGACATCTCCTTGAATTCAGTACTTCTAGTGAAAGTAATCAAAAGCTATTACCATACAGAAAGATTAGGGCTTATTGTCCTAAATGTTAGTAGTGGCTATTTTCTCATAGAAACTTACACCTTACTTTGTCTTTATTTAGCTTAAACAAATTTTAAATGTCCCTGAAAGTGACTACTGGAATTATGGGACAATTCCAGGCTGGTCTGCCCACCATTTTTAATGAGTGGGTGAGGACCATCATTGGCAGACAGAAACCGAGCCCACCAGCACACATTTCATTTGTAAACACTCTCATAAGTCTTCACCAGCCCTAGGGGAATTGTTGAATGTTACCATTGCGGTCCCTCTGCAGGTGGAGATGTGTGGAGTCTGTCCTCCTGACTTAATTGGTCTTTCTGTCACAGAAAGATAAATATGGGGGAGGCTGTGCCTCGCATAGTAGTCAGGGCTTTGGAAAAGCTCTGAGAACTGTTCAGCATGTGGCATTCCCTAACGCATTCCCTTTGAAGGATACAATAGTGAGCAAAATGTGTACATAAGTATATAGGAGAGAAAAGACCATCCATAAACAGCTCTGATATGAGGCAGAAAAGGGTGCACCCTATAAGAGGTCAGGAAAATACAGCAGAACTGCAGAGGATGGACAGATTCCTTTCATTGCGAATTAGAGTCTCCATGGAAGTAGTGGAGTTGGAATTAGTGAAGAACTTGAATTTAGTAGAGGGTGGAAGGACTTATTGGGTAGAAGGAAAGCACAGAGAGAATCAGTCAGCTCCTGTGTTGCAGGACTACAGGGAGAGCAAGGGAACTGGAGGGAGAAGACACTGAGAAGCCCAGGTGGGGTGAGAGTAGCAGGTAGGGATGTCAGGCAGAAGAGGTCAGGAGTTAATGAACATTTGTGGGCATGAGTGGTGTCCTGGAGACTAACACAGTCATTGTGCAGGTGTTCAAGGATTGGATGGGTCCTCCTGTAAATGATTTCTGTTCAAGTACAGAGAATTCCACAGGTACAAAGAATGAAGACAAAGAGAACAGTCTGAACAGTTTTTATTCTGGGGTTGGAGTGATGTAGCAGTTTCTAGGTTACGTCCAAACTGAAAATGAGGCGTACAGAGTCCCACCTCAGTGGGGAAAACATGGCTTTGAGGCTGTCTCAAAATTAACAGGTATAGCCTTTTAAACCTTAAGAAGACACAGAAGAACTTGCCAACACACTGGCTAGATCTCAATTTTATCATGACACACTGTGGAATGAGTGTGAACCTGACAAAAGTAAGTAAAGGCACTGAAACGCTTGGTGAATATAAATTTTCTGAGAAATATTCAGTCTTTCTGGTTAATAGTTGTAACATGTTATTACTTGCTAGCTCAGTCAACGTCTTTACAATTCTCATTCTTTCAAGTGTCTGTTGAAGCTGTGGCTTTGGTTTCAATTATAAGCATAGTTAAAGTGGAATTGAAGATGTTGGGATTTTGTGATTTTGGGTTTTTATAGGTTTTAAAGCTATGAAATGGCACATTGATTTTAAGCTCCTTTACCTGCTATAATACTTGTAGGTACTGGTAGGCAATTATTTTTCCACAGGTCTCAGAATTGAGAACATGAGGCCACAACTAGCCCTTTTCTCTGTCATGGGAACATTCATCCTATGGATTAGAAACTGGGTCATAAGATTAGAAAGACATCCTAAGAACAGTGTATGTGTTTCTTTACTGAAAATTGAAGGCAATATGCAGCTACAGTCTTCTTGGGTGACATTTGAGATTACTAAGTCTCAGATTGCTGGCACATTCATCCCTGGTCTTGAACATTTTTTAAACCCAAGTAAAGTGTCAGTTGTGGAAAAAGTCATTTACTGGAAGACAAAGACCACTCAAATTTGCATTAAAGCACATGTTTAGAGTTTCATTATCTCTGAATTCTAAATAAATGGCATAGTGAATGAATATTATACTCATGTGTAAAACTTAGATCTTCACAACAGTTGTTTAGTGGGTAATGAAATTAGTTAAGCAGTTTTATTATTTATCACCAAGGCTTCTGAGAGGAATACCTTATCTGATGTTACGGAGGTCGTCATACTAGGAGATGATCTGAAATTCTCTCCCCCCTGCTGGCTGCAATGCAACGCTCCTAGGATTGCTGACCTCTGAACTCTGATTCTTGATAATTTAGAGGTTAGCGACGTATATCAGATTGCCCACACCTGTCAATTGAATCCATTCTCCCCTTCCTGTTAAGAATTTGGTTATAAGCACTTTGTGTTGAGTGTTGGGAAAGAAATTTAACAACAGGAATCACTGAGATTACCTATTCATTGAACATAATCTGCACAGCCTGGTTTTGACAAGTTCTGTTCTGTATTTGAAAACATCTCATGCGGTCTCACTCTGGAAGACGTGAATCATCCCTTTGTCCCAAGTACCCATCCTGTAAATGCTACCCACCCTGTGATAGTTGAGATCCTTGTCCTCCTGGGTTCAGTTTGTAAAGTCTGGTGGTAAAGGAAGTGGGGCTTCAGGATTTTTGGTTTAACTGTGCTTTCTTCCCTGCACTTATCAGACTGATAGTTATTTTATTCACTCATTCACGCCTTCATTACTATTCACTGCTAATTTGATTTTGGGTCTTTTGGGGGTTTTTGTTTTTGAGACAGGGTCTCTATATAGTTTAGTCTGTGTAATCCAGGCTGGCCTCAAATTCATGGCAGTTCTCCTGACTCAGCCTTCTGATAGAGCAGATTTAAGAATCCACTGAGGCATACCCATATATGCGCAGCATATTGGAGGATTCTTTAACAAAGTATCTGTCTTTAGGATAATCCAGGAACTCTCATCTTGGGGCATTTGTCTTGAGTTAATTTGTACATGTTCAAAAGTGGTATCTCTCATTTCTGATGTTTTTCTGTCTGCTCTTCAAAGGACACTCAGTGGTGATTAGTGGAAGTAATGGCTGCCCGATATGCAGGAAAAAAAAAAACAAAACAAACTATGACCCTGTGGGTAAATAAGCTGTAATATTTTATTTTCATTTTCTTTATAGCAATATAGAGTCTTCAGAGAAGAGATTCAGAATGAATAGCTTTGTGTCAGATTTTGGAAAACCCCTGGATCCAGACAAGGTATTTTCTCGCCAGGGCAACGAAGAGTCTAGATCTCTCTTTCACTGCTACATCAATGAAGTGGGACACTCGGACAGGGCCAAAGCTGGTCACCAGACCACGGCTATTGACAGTGCTGCGCAACTCCAGGAAGCCATCAGGGGCAGCAGGAGGGCAGAAGAGGAGCTGAACAGGCTAATGAAGTTTGACATCCCCAACTTTGTGAACACAGACCAGAACTCCTTTGGGGAGGATGATCTTCTGATTTCGGAACCACCTATTGTTCTAGAAAATAAGCCAGTTTCCCAGACTTCACACAAAGACCTGGACTGAGAAACATCTTTGTGTCTTTCTGAAGATATAGGTTCTGTCTTTATATAACAAGAAAGCTCCATTTGCCAAATTGTGTGTGTATGTGAGGGAGTCAGAGAAGGGAGCCTCCCTCAGAACACAGCTGAAGGTTTTCATTGTTGGTGTTTGTTGTATTTTGTTTGCCTTTTAATGCATTGGGGTTTATTTTTTTGGCGGGGAGGAAAGTTTGGGGGGAAAGATATTTGCACTATCTCATATTCCTTGTTGAAAAGTTGGCCAAAAATGTTAGGACCTTGAATGAAGATTAGCATATCACATTCTAATCTGGCTCTGCTACCCTCTTGCTCTATCATTAGCAAATTGCTTTGTTTCTCTGGGCTAAAACAGTTTTAGTGGTCAGTGACGTCTGCAGTAGTTGATCTCCCCTAGCTGTAATACTTGGTAAATGTATGACTTTGCAGCCATGGCCAACTGAGGTATACATAGAGCAGTATAAACGAGGGCACTACCTCCTATCTCTTGTTGGATCCCTGAATCTATGTACCTTCAGCTCAATCCTTAATGGAACCACACTTTAGTGAGGTGATCTTTACTCCCTCAGTACTCATACAGTCACTGTAGTGAACATTTCTGCTGAATTTTGCTGTAACAGTTCTTTAGAAGCTCTCCAACCACCCATGCTCAAACTTAGGTATAGCTAGCTCTGTCCCCCTCAGAGTGAATACCAATTCATGGTATATCACATGACACCTCTGTCCACAAGAAATGTAGGGAAGGTTGTCATCTGAACCAAGGGGAAGCTTCTGTGTGTCTTTGTGTTGGTGTCTTGGTGTTACATTGCTGTGCCATTGGCTTTAGAATAGGGAAAATATTATTTGCCGTGCTGTCTATGCAGGTGATGGTCATATGGTTTTGAGCTGAGATGGTCAGTGGATTTTACACACCAAACTAACACATTCTCGGGGTGGCCTAGACTACATTAACATGAGAGCATCACAGTTAATTTCATGAAGTGATCAAACCTACACACTGGTATTGGAATCAACTTGGTTTTATACACACAGTTGTATGCATGGCCATTGCTAATCTGGGGTGGGCAACTGTCATTATGAATTTGTTTATCACCTATCTGCTTAAGCTACAAAATAAATCTATATGACCGCACAAGAATTTTCTCTGGTTATTTCCAGAATCTAATTTTTTTATTTTTTAAACTAGTCCATGTCTGTAGCTCCCCATAACTTCTTTGAGTGGAAAGTGCTGGCTATCATTTCTGAGATCCTGGTAATCACAATCATGCATGAGATTTTATTGAGGAATTATTTCCCTGGGAAAATTTTATTTTTAAAGAGTCTAAGCGGTACAACAAAGCATGAGATATTTAGTGTAATTAGAACTATGTTAGCAGGGCATAATGGTCCATGCAAGCAATCCTAGCTACCTATAAGGTTGGAGGGGAGGATCCTAAGTTCAAGGCCAGCCTCAGCATTATAGCAAGAGCCTGTCTCAAAATAAAAAGGGCAGGAGATACAGCTCAGTGTATCCTGGGTTCAATACCCAGTACATACAAAAAAAAATATTTTAACAAGTTCTTATAGATGCTTGTTATTTTCATGCAGTAGAACAAAAGCAAGAATGCTGGTTTTACTAACTTACAGTGTATTATTATTCATAATTTATTTAACCAAACAGAAATGATGGGCTATTTTTTATTACGGTTCAAACTATAGAAGAGGTACTTTATTTAGAAGTATATTTATCCGAAAGCTGAAAGATATTTAAAAGTTGGAAAAACATGACTATGCCATCACCTTAATGAAGTAAAGGTTAAAAATTGTGAAGAGTCTAAAACTATATTCCTTTTGCAAGGTAGCCTGTCACAGTCTCAAAAATACATTTTCTAGAAGATACAAGACTCTGAGCATTTCATGAGAGCACAGTAGGCTGCATGCGAGTCTGATACATACTGGTTTCTCAGTTTGTTTTCTATTGCTATTGTAACAAATTATGACAAACTTACTGGCCACACAAGTTTATTCCCTCCTACTTATATACACGTGTCCAATATCAGGGTCATGAGCTAGTAACAAGGGATGAGCAGAGCTGTGTTCCATCTGGAGGCTCTAGGGAAAAAGTCATTTTCTTGCCAGTTTCCAGATGTTGTCACACTCCTTGGATAATGGCCATATATCACTGTGACATCTTTTTCCACTGTCCAGGTCTCTCGCTGACTGCTCTACTTCCCTCTTTAAAGAACTCTGGTGATTTACACTGGATTATCTGAGATAATTTCCCCATCTCAAGATCCTTCACTTGATCACACTTGAAAAGTGCCTTTGCTATATAATATAACATATTCACAGTTTCCAAGGATTAGGGTGTAGAGACATTGAAGAAGCCATTAGCATATCAGTTTTCCTTTGGCCCCAAAGGTTGATATCCATCCCACATGTAAACTATATTACACCATCCCACCATACTTCAAAGTCTCATTCTATTACAGCATCAAAGTCCAATATATTATCTAAGTTTTATAACCTAAAAACTCCTAGAGCCAGGGATTTAGCTCAGTGTTTCCACTCCCTGCCTCACAAGTACAAGGACCTGAGTTCTATCCCTGGTACCAAAAACAAACCAAAACAAACAAACCCTCCTAAACCTCATTACCTTAACCTATAAGTCAAGAAGGGTGAATTCTGCATATGATCCAACCTGGGGAAAAGTAATCTCATCTATGGATCCGTGAAATAAGAAAACAAACTATTTGCTCTCTCAGTACAGTGGTGTGATGAGTGTAAGAAAATAATTATAAATATTCTCATTCAAAAAAGAAAAGATAAGAAAAAAGGCATCATCCCAAGAAATTTCAAAATTAAATGGAAAACATTCTATTGGGTTTCAAGGTCTGGAAATAATCTTCTATACCTTGTGGCTCCTTCTCCTGAGGTTGAAGCTCTGCTTTTAGAATCTTTTGTACTGAAAGATAGAATGTGTTTTATCTTGGTAGTTTTTCTAGCCTGTTTCCTGCATGTAGTTCAGGCACATTCTTCACTGCTTCTCCAGAGTATTCTTTTCCTTAAACGTTTAGAGTATCTGCAATCTGAACAGTCCGATAATTTCCCAAATCATGAAGTCCTGATTATTTTTCATTTAACAGCTCTTTCATCAATTTATCTCTTACCTCTTGACTTTTACTGTAAGCAGCAAAAAGAAACCAGGCTTCATATTTAACACTTTGCTTGGAAATTCACTTATCTCAATACCCCAAGTTACTTGTTTATGGGGTTTGCTTTCTCCATAACTGTAGAACACAATTCATAAATAATATGGATTCACAATAAATCACAATTCATAATAAAACAAGGATCCCCTTTTCTCTGATTTCTAATAACATCTTCCTCATTTCCATCTAAACCCACACCTATAGTGCCTTTAAAGTCTGTATTTCTACTGAGAGTTGGTTCATGATGATTGAAGTTTTCTATAAGACACACTTTTCTTGGCTGGGGATTTAGCTCAGTGGTACTGCAAGCACAAGGTCCTGAGTTTGATTCCTGGTACCATAAAAACAAACAAACAAACAAACAAAGATACACTTTTTTTCCTCTGCAATGTTTATCATTTCTGCCCAATCCCCACTAATAGGCATTAACACTCATTGTTCTATTGAGAATCCACTTAAGCAGTCTAGGCAGTTTCTATCATGTACCTCAAAATTTTTCCAGCCTCTGACCACTGCTAAAATCCACCATTTTAGGTATTTGTTACAAGAGCAGTAGAAAAACCAATGTAATTTTCCTGAACTCCACATCTCATGGAGGTGGATGGGACTTTGGTGAGTGCTGTGCACTCAGTGAGTTGACATCACAGCCAAGGAACGTGAAGATCAGGCAACCCCGCATTTTGGCAGGGGACTGCAAGTAAACCTGCCCGATCTTTGTCCCAGAAGGGTTATCATTTTTATTCTGATCAGCCAGCAAGCCTCTCCTCTCATCTAGAAGGAAACATGATCTCCATTTTCCAAGGGTATTCTCTCTCCAAAGATCATTTGAGACAAAGCTTTGTGTCTCCATTATTAATAAGACACACAGAAACCGAGAGGTCCTTGGAGAACTGTCTCTGAAACCTAAAAAAACCAGAGTATGTTGTATAAGGCATCTGGGGTTTTTAAAAAGAGACAACTTTGAAGAAACTGTAAAAATAAGTAAGATGATTTTTAAAAATGCCTGAATTTGTTTTTTCTGAGATGTGCAACCATCTCAGGTTAAATTCAATGGATTTTTTTTTCCAATTAAAGCTGCCAAGGGTTTGCCAAAGCATATATTGTATATTTGAGCTATTTTATTCTATTGCAGTAGTCTTACTGGTATGAAAATAATACAGCATGCTGAGGTAGATAGAAGAAACTTTTTAAAATAGGCAAAAAAGAGACAAGGTATTCAGTATTTTAAAATTATACTTAGAAAAAAAAAATCCTAAGGGTCTTAAAGACACAATAAACCTATAAATTGGGCTCTAGAGCTGTCTTTTTCACCTACAAATTGTGCTTTCTCTATCCTCAAGGAAGCAGCAGTATTAGTAGATAGCATATCTTAACTCCAAACATATGTCAATGTCTTGCATTCTGACATAGCTTGCCAGATGGGTAGCTGGACAATAGAAATATACATCCTAGATCACTCATCTTAAAAATACCTCCAAATCCCCATAAATATATTTGATTCTGTCCCATAATGGATTTTGCTCTTTCTTGAGGTCCTACATTCTATTTCTTTGACTGTGTATCTTTTAATTTCTTCTTAATAGAAACTCTTCCCATGCCTCTTACTGACTAGTCCTGAAAATTCTTTTTATGTGATGGTAATCAGCTAACCTCCAACGTTCTATATTTAGGGTGGGTTACCTACCCTTATGTCAGTTCAAGGGAACTCTTCAAATACGGTTTGGTGACAATGCCACCCAGAAATAGTATACTGTGGAGAAAGAAAGTCTTTATGCCACATCAGGCATATAATGTCTTCAAGGAGGCGACCTTATCAAACCTGATAGAGGTAGAGTTGGCAGCTTCTGCTGAACTTTGAGACAATATGTTTGGAGTACAGAGAATATATTCTTGTTTTTCCAAGAGTTGGGGCTTTGAATAAATTTTGCTGAAAATTTCTTATCCTGGGCTAACAGCAAGCCTTGCAAAGTTAATTTACAACTGTACAGCTATGAAGAGAACTCTAGGGAAATGTGCCTGATTCAGGCGTTCTGTGTTTAAATTTCAAGGGAAAATAAGTGCTAGGTCTTGAAGACATCTCTAGATCTGATAAGGTCCAGAAATACAGGGGTAATGTATTTACCTTTCCAGGATGTTTTCCATCTGCTTTCTATGGAGCAGAGATTTTTCTTTCTTCTATTTTTTTTTATCTCCTGTATATTGTAGAGGAATTATTTTTCTTCATTATCCACCCAAGATACATATTTTACATAATTAGGAGATTTTGTCCAAGTTTTCATCATGTCATTTCAGGGGTAAGACCTGGAGTTTGGAGGATCATATGGTAATAGTTTGCTTTTTAAATGAATACTGAAATATGATCTGACCTAGATTGGGAGTGCATTCATAATAAAATTACAATAGGTGAATATTAAAACTTAAAGTATAGAGTTCATTCTATGCTTAAATATAGACTTCATCCCAATCTTTTTTGATAGCTGAATAGGGCCAAGTATAAGTGTTGGAGAGTTTGTGCACACAAATCTGTCTGAATAGTATCCATGGAAGAGCTAGCGCAAAGAGTTTGGAAGCACCTACCTTTGATTTTGAGAGAAATGTTTGAGGATGAATTACATTAAAGGTTAAATCAAAAGTCTGTTATAACAATAGTGTCTTAGGTCAGGTCACATAGAAGCAGAATCTGACCTGTTGAAGTGACTTACTGGTAGGGAACTACTCAAAGAAGGAGTGACTAGGAAGCAGCCCAGGAAGGGGAAAGTGACCAGGAATAACATCTCACTGAAGACTCATTCTGACCTCAAAGGGAATTCTCCAGCATAAAGAGCTCTACAGATTCACACCCTTCTTGGGCAAGGCCATGACTGTCATGGTAAGGTGAAGGTGGCTTCAGCATTGATCAAGGGCAGTTCTTGAGGGTAGGGAGCACTGATTAACATCTTTTGTGGCTGAGAATGGGTACTGGCTA